TTGGAGGTACCAAACTAATCAGTATTACAACAGCATAAGGATGCAAATATTTATGGTTTTTTGCTAATTTAAATTTTTTTCATTTTCTTCTCTCTTTTAAAAATAATCACAGTCTCACTTTCAAAGTAATGGTGTGAACTGAGAAACTCCAACCCTCTCATTTTCTATTGCTTTTGATAACAGGAATGTAAATTACAAGATGTGCAGTTATACCTAAAAAATGCTAGCTGTCTCTTAATGAAAAGAAAAGTTTATTCCTGATCAAAATAGATGGTATGCTTTGCTTTTTTGTTGGACCTAACACAGTATGTGTAGCTCCAAATGTCATTTTAAAATGTTAAAAACAGCTGCAAAAATTACATCCTTTTATAGTTTTCCTTTTAATTATAACATTTGGGAAATTAGCATTTGGGGCCATGATAATCCCAGCAATATAAGAGAGTAAATTGTCCTTGCTTTAAAATGCAGCCACATTTACATACAATTATCCTCGATACACTGTCTAGATACACTGATGGACTCACACTTTATGTTGTGCACTGTTGTGGCTTACTATATGAAATAATTATGTATTGTGGAAAGAAATACATTTCAAGTGTGATTAGTAAATATGTAATACTTAACAGAAGTTATATGCTGTCAGCAACAACTCTTGTCTCATGTTTAGAATAGGATCTGTGAATCAGGATGTTCTTCTCATATGTTGGTGGCCATGCTGTAAATTAAGAGTGAGCACCAAATAACTTTCTTTTTTGTTGCAGTTGAGTTTTAAATTTTAGTCTTTCCCAGAAATGGGAGTCATCTTTTAAAGCATACCTTTCTTTTGAGTCGAATATGGCTAAGACCTAGAGACAAGTCATAGGAAGTCATTTGTTTTCTTAAGAATTAAAATAGGGACCTCTCTCTCTATCAATAGACATTGCCCTCCTACAGGGCCAAGAGCTGTGGCCTCAAACATCTGAGGTAAATCTCCCCTTCTCAACCCTACTTAGAGATTCTAAACTGATGATGATTTCATGAGCCCACAGACCCTTACATCCTCCCCAGCTGCTCCTAGATCCTAGTGAAGCACTTCAAATCCACTCACTCATGGCCCATCCCCACTCACCGTCTCTCCTTAATGTTATCTGTCCTTCCTCATGTTTCTTCTGAAGTCTTAGCATCTGTCTAAGCCTGCTGTTGTCTTGAGTGACTCAGGGGGAACAACTTCCCTTGCAAACCTAGTGGTACTCACTTTGTCAGCATATAGACTTCTATGATTTTCTGCTTTATTTTGTAGGCTCTATTCTAATTCCTGCTTTGTATCTAATTTAGTCCTTAGGTTAATACTTGAATTTTTGTCTTCCTGTGTCCTCAGTTGAGCCTCTTTCTATACTCTTACTTGAAGTTTCCTGCACTGACTCAGGCATCTGTGTTTAATACTGTAGATAGATAGATAGATAGATAGATAGATAGATAGATAGATAGATAGATA